TGCAGTAGGTTCAGCTCCTCTGGGCTTGCTCTGCCCTGGGACAGGAGGCTCCCCCTTTTTCAGGTGGCCGGGTCCCCTGAGGCAGCTCTGAGTCAGCTTTCTTTCTTTCTTTTTTTTTGAGACAGAGTCTCGCTTTATTGCCCAGAGTAGAGTGAGTGCGTGGTGTCAGCCTAGTCACAGCAACTCAAACTCCTGGCTAAGCAATCCTCCTGCCTCAGCCTCCCAAGTAGCTGGGACTACAGGCATGTGCCACCATGCCTAGCTAATTTTTTCTATGTATATTAGTTGTCCAATTAATTTCTCTCTATTTATAGTAGAGACAGGGTCTTGCTCTTGCTCAGGCTGGTTTCGAACTCCTGACCTGGAGCAATTGCCCACCTCGGCTCCAGAGTGCTAGGATTACAGGTGTGAGGAGCCACCACGCCTGGCTGAAGGTCAGCTTTCTAATGAGCTGAAACTCACCTTGCTGGACTGTCCTCTGCAAAGCATCTTGTCTGCACAGAACTGCAACCCCAGCACAAGCAGGGGCTCTGGAACTCTAGGCCGCCCCTTCCTCCTGACACCTCTTCATGGAGCCCAATTCAGAGCACTTCTGGTGTCAGGATTTGGACAAAGGACTTGGAGTGGGGTGGGCTGGAGACGTGGCCACACGGCAGATCCTCCCTTGTAGAAGGCACAGGGAAAAGGATATTCAACTGGCCTGAAATGACCCAAGGGAAATGGGGGCTGGAATCATTCAAAGCCCTATGCCATGGATCAGTCCCTTCATTCATTCATTTGTCATTCAATGTGTATTTTGAGCAGCCACACAGTGTTAGGTTCTAGGGGTATGGTATAGCAGTGACATAAAGACATTGTCAGGCCGGGCGCTGTGGCTCACGCCTGTAATCCTAGCTCTTGGGAGGCCGAGGCAGGCGGATTGCTCAAGGTCGGGTTCAAAACCAGCCTGAGCGAGACCCCGTCTCTACTATAAATAGAAAGAAATTAATTGGCCAACTGTATATATAAAAAAAAAAAAATTAGCCGGGCATGGTGGCACATGCCTGTAGTCCCAGCTACCCGGGAGGCTGAGGCAGACAGGATTGCTTGAGCCCAGGAGTTTGAGGTTGCTGTGAGCTAGGCTGACGCCACGGCACTCACTCTAGCCTGGGCAACAAAGCGAGACTCTGTCTCAAAAAAATAAAAAATAAAAAAAATAAAGACATTGTCCCTGTCCTCATGAAGCTTGCAGTTTTGCTGCCCTGTCCCATATGGGAGCCACTGGCTATCTCTGGCTATTTAAATTAATTTAAATTTAATAAATAAAATAATTTAAACCAATTACAATTAAGAAGTCAGTTTCTCAGTTACACAAGCCACATTTCAAGCGTTCAGTAGCCAGTGCCTGTAGATGATGGATATGGAACATTTCCATCATCCTGGGAGGACAGACGTTAACCAAAAACTCATACTGATGATGATTTAAATATCCACTGTGATAAATGCCACCTAGGGATATTCTGAGGGCTGGTGGCAGAGGATATGACAGAGGACTATGGCCCGGCCTGGGGAAGGGTAGGCTTTCTGCAGAAGGGATGTTGGGAGAGTGAAGAGAAATTAGCCAGCGTTGGGTGAGAGCCATCAGACAGAGACAATAGCATGTGCAAAGTCCCTGAGCAGGTGTGAGTGGGAGGACCTTTGGGAATGAGAAGGTCAGATAAGCAGTTTTCAAAAAAATTAATAGGCTTTATTTTTTAGAGTAGTTTTGGGTTCATAGAAAAATGGAACAGAAAGCACAGAGAGTTCCCAATTCCTCTCTGTGCCCACACACCCACAGCTGCCTCCTCTATCAACACGGGCACCAGAGTGCTACATTTGTTACAACTGATAAACTTACACTGACACATTAACACCGAGAGTCCACAGTTTGCTTTAGAGTTCATTCTTGCGGTTGTATGTTTCACAGCTTTGCACAAATCTATAAGGACATGTATCCACCATTATAACCCTATACATACACGGTGCTCTGCCTGGTCATCCTTCCCTTGCCCCTTAACCCTGACCACCACTGATCTCTTTATTATCTCTGTCGTTTTGCCTTTTCCAGAATGTCTTATAGTTGGAATCATACAGTATGTGGCCTTTTCAGTTTGGCTTCTTTCACTGAGTAATGCGCATGTCAGTTTCCTCCATGTCTCTTCCTGGCTTGAGGGCCCGTTTCTTTTCAGTGGAGGTAGCACAGTTTGTCCACTCGCCTACTGAAGGAGATCTTGGCTGCTTCCAGGTTTTGGCTATCAAAAATAAAGCTGCTATAAACATCCGTGTGTAAGTTATCGTGTGGACATAAATTTTTAACTCTAGTCGAAATGTAGTTTTAAGAGGTCATTGTGGATTTGGTGGGAAGAGCCTGGATCCTTGAAATATACTTCTGGGGTGAGGCTCTCTCTGAAGGTGGGGACAGGGGCTATGTGGGTGGTGGCCTGTGTCTGGCACAGGAAGAGTCAACCATGGACAGGTGTGGAGGTTCTCCCAGCAGGCCCCTTCGAAGACCCTGTCCCCAGCTCCACCAGGCTCCACCTACCTCTCACTGTTGCCCCTAAATACCTGGGAGGCCCCGCCCCCCACAATAGCTAAGGAGGCTGAATGGGAGAAGTTGCTCTGCTTCTCTTGGTGGGTACTTAAGTAGAGATGACATGAGCTCAAACCCACCTTCGCTACTCAATTGGACCTGAGTTCTTCTCTGCAAGATGGGTGATAGGACATATCACATTGGGGCTTGGTGATACTTAGAGTGCAATGCTACATGGAAAGTGTCAGTTACATGCAGAGGCTCATGAATGGTGGCTGTTGTCATTTTTATTAGGAAAGAGCTGCTTTCTCCAGACCCCACTGTAGATGAATTGGAAGGGGGGCAGGAAGGGAGAACCCCCTGCTATGGCCCAAGTTGTTTCCGGCCTCTACTGCAGGCTCTCAGGAAACTCATGTGGCCTAGTGGCCTAGCATTCAGCCCTGGCCTCAGGGTCTCCTTTGCCACCAGGGCCGGACAGGCAGGCACTGCAGGGGAGCTCTCAGACCATGAGCTATTGGGGATGCTGTGAGGAGTGCACTTGTGAGAGGGTGGTGGTTTCCATCTTAATTGTTTCTCAGAATTGGGGCCTTCCTTGAAATGTGGGACCCCTTCCTCACTAGAACTAATATTAGCAGTAGTGGTTACAGCTTCTGTTGATTGAATCGCTCCTCTGCACTGGAAACTTAGATGCATTATTTCATTTAATCAAGAATTTATTTGGCAAATATGTATCAAGGGCCTGCTACTGCCAAGCACTGTTCTAGTGGGGGACAGAGAAAAAACAAGTCAGCCACATGAAAAATATACCTAATGAAAAATTGTACGGGAAAAGAAGGAATGAGTCAGGGAGGCTAGGAAAGATCATTCCAGGGAAGACCTGCTGGGAGGATGTGACATTTGATTTATGATTGAAACCGTCAACCACCAGGAACAAAGCATTGCCCCAGAGAAAGAGCCTGTGCAATGAGTGAGTGTTTCACTGTCACAGGCCAGAGCAGCTGGTGCAGACGGGTGGAGGGAGGAGGAAGGGGGAGGACAGGTGGGGGCTGGGGCATTGCAGGAGAGTCCTGGGCCTCTGTGAAACTCCCCCAGATGCCTGCCTGGTCCAGAACTCTGCTCCTATGGGAAACAAGGGGAACTGCACTAAGGATCACTTTTGTTATGCTTGAAGTTGGACTTAACTGTCCAAAAAGCCATGAGCTCTTTGAGGGAAAGGACTGCCTTGCCCCTACTGCCATGATCCACAGTTGGTGCTCTTTAGAGGATTCTTTATACTCAGTAACTGGCTCAATCCTAGGAGGTGGGAGGGAAATGAGCCCTGGGGGACTATGATATGAAACCTGATGTACAGGGGTGAATAGTGTCTTCCAAACATTTGTGTCCACCTGGAACCTCAGAATGTGACCTTATTTGGAATAGGGTCTTTGCAGATGTGACTAGTTAAGGTCAGGTCATACTGGGTTAAGGTGGGCCCTTAAGTCCAACATGACTGGTGTCCTTATAACACACACAGACACAGCGGAGAGACCACCACAAGAAGACAGAAGAAGAACTTGGAGTTTTGCTGCTGCAAGCCAAGGAAGTCCAGGGATGGCTGGCAACCACCAAAAGCTAGGAAAAAGCAAGGCAGGATTCTTCCCTAGAGCCTTTGGAGGGAGCATGGCCCTGCCACCATCCTGATTTCAGATTGCTGGCCTCTAGAACTGAGAGAGAAGAAATCCCTGTTGTGTAAGCTACCCAGTTTGTGGCACTTTGTTAGGCCAGCCCTAGAAAACTAACACTTGCTCAGGGTCACCCAGAAGTCAGTATCTGTATGCAAACCCAGTTTTTCTGCTTCCAGAGCAGGAGATTTCCCCATGAATTTCTACTAATAAAGTGTTTTTAAATGCAAATGCTTCAGAGTAAGTGCACAGACATTCATTTACTCAGCAAATATTTATTCAGTGTCTACTACCCGCCGGGGGTAGTTCTAGGTTCTGGAAAATCCTGTTCCTGTTTACAACGTATTAGGGGGAGGACACTCCCCTCCCCCCCGAAAAAAAAGATACAGTAGGTCAGACGGTGCAAAGACCTATAGAGACACAGAACACGGGGTGAGGGGCGATTCAGATGCGTGTGTATGTGGGTGGGGAGGAGGAGCTGCTATTTTATACAAGGTGCTGGGGATCTTCTGACAGGTGGCTTTTGAAAGCGGCAGGCAGTGGGAATGGCAAATGCAAAGGCCTGGTGGCGGGGATGTGTTGGGCCTGCAGCAGGCCAGCGTGGCTGGAGAGGAGCGTGCAAAGGGCACAGAGCTTGGGGAACGAGCTCGAAGAGGAGGCGGAGGCCACAGAAGACCTGTAGGGTTCCTCCGTGCCCTGGCAGAGCCCCGTACGGCGCCACACCCAACATGGCGGCAACGCGGGGCCTGCCTGTGGGCGAGAGGAAGTGCGTGTCGGCAGGCGCCGGAAGTGGCTAGAGGTCCCGCCCCTTGCTGGGGTCTCTGTAGAGCCGCGGCCGCGCCGGCATCGAGCATCCCTGGCCCGGCAGGCTGGAGGCCCCGGGGCTGCGGCTCCGGCAGCCGCGGCACGGCCCGCCCGCGACATGGCCAGCTCCGGAGAGGTACATCCCGCGCCTTTCTCCGCTCTGCTCCTGCCTCGGCGGCCTCGGCCCCCCAGGTTCTTCTCGTCTCAACACCGGTCCCCATGCGTTCTTTCTGTCCCGACCCCTACCCCACTCCGTCCTCCGATCCGGACCCTAGCCTTGCATCCTTGCCCAATCCTGACCCCCAGGCCCTCGCCCTGCCTCCCAAGGCACACACTGTTTCTCTCCTTGGCTTTCCATCCCTTTTCCAGCCCCACATTCCTGACCGCCAGAGTTGCTCCCCGCCTCTCTGCCCTCTGAGTTTCCGGGCCCTTTCTCCCTGCCCCTGTTCCTCGGCTCAGTGCTTGCAGCTCTAGGACGTTCCTCTCTGTGTCCACTTCCCACCCTGTCTTCTATCTCTGGATGCTCAGTTTCAGTCCAGCCCACTTGTCTCTGGAGCCTGCTTGTTGACTTCGGTGGGGGGTGGTGGTGGTAGAGGAAAAGACATTTCACCTGGGGTACTTGCATCTTATCTGGAATTCATTTCCCAACGTTCCACAAATCTGGGGCCGATGGAGAATCCCACCGCGTCTGCCGTTATGTGGTGCAAGGTGTTTTCTCTGCACACAAGGGTATAGGGGGACTGGAGTTGGACTACTGGCTTCCCTTTTGTTGCTTCCTGCCTACCTGGGTATCTGTCATCTTCCAGGACTCAAACTGTTGGGCACACTTCTAAGTTTTAGGAGGTTGCCTGGGTTCTAGAGAACAAGTGTGAGAGGTTCAAGTCTTTTCCGCAGAGTGGATGGGACATGAGTATGTGGAAGGAGGCCTGGGCTTGCTGACTGTTCTCCAGCCCCAGTGGCTCCTTGATTGACAGGGAAGGGTGTGTGCCCAATTGCAGACTGACGATAGAATTGAAGGGCCAGACAACTCCAGCTCCCTGAGGAAGAGTTCTGGGGTAGCCTGGCTGTGTTAGCAGATTGCAGTTAGTTGTATGTACCTTGCAGAGTGGGTGGGTCTGGTACCTTGGTCTTACGGAGTCCTGGCTCAAAGGCCCCTCTGTCCTGTGAAGCACATGGGAGTGACCTGGCTGTTGAGGCCTGCTTCTTTTTGAGACAGAGTCTCACTTTGTTGGCCAGGTTAGAGTGAGTGCCGTGGTGTCAGCTTAGCTCACGGCAACCTCAAACTCCTGGGCTCAAGCAATCCTTCTGCCTCAGTCTCCTGAGTAGCTGGGACTACAAGCATGTGCCACCATGCCCGGCTAATTTTTTCTATATATATTATTTGGCCAATTAATTTCTTTCTATTTATAGTAGAGATGGGGTCTCGCCCTTGCTCAGGCTGGTTTCGAACTCCTGACCTGGAGCAAACAGCCTGCCCGGCCTCCCAGAGTGCTAGGATTACAGGCGTGAACCGCTGCGCCTGGCCGAGGCCTGCTTCTTGTTGGCATTGCAGACACCTTTTAGGCTGAGAAGGAGAGAGGTGAGTGTGGATATCAAGGTCTCTTTTTCTGGGAGAGTCAAATTATTTATCTATTGAGATATAATTCACATACTACAGGCTAGGCATGGTGGCTCTTGCCTGTAATCTTAGCACTCTGGGAGGCCGAGGTGGGAGAATAGATCAAGGTCAGGAGTTCAAAACCAGCCTGAGCAAGAGTGAGACCCCGTCTCTACTAAAATAGAAAGAAATTAATTGGCAAACTAAAAATATATAGAGAAAATTAGCCGGGCATGGTGGCGCATGCCTGTAGTCCCAGCTACTTGGGAGGCTGAGGCAGAAGGATTGCTTGCCTGTAGCCTCCCAAGCTGGGACTACAGGCATGCGCCACCATGCCTAGCTAATTTTTTCTTATGTATATGTTGTTCCAATTAATTTCTCTATATTTATAGTAGAGACAGGGTCTTGTCTTGCTCGGCTGGTTCGACACCTGCCTGGACAATTTGCCACCTCGCCTCCCAGAGTGCTAGGATTACAGGTGTGGCCACGCCTGCCTGCGTGGGTCAGCTTTCTAATGCTGAAACTCACCTTGCTGGACTGTCCTCTGCAAAGCATCTTGTCTGCACAGAACTGCAACCCCAGCACAAGCAGGGCTCTGGACTCTGCCGCTCTCTCTGACACCTCTTCATGGAGCCCAATTCAGACACTTCTGGTGTCAGGATTTGGACAAAGGACTTGGAGTGGGGTGGGCTGGAGACGTGGCCACACGGCAGATCCCTTGTAGAGGCACAGGGAAAGGATATTCAAGTGGCCTGAAATGACCCAAGGGAAATGGGCTGGAATCATTCAAAGCCTATGCCATGGATCAGTCCTTCATTCATTCATTTGTCTTCATGTGTATTTTGAGGCAGCACACAGTGTAGGTTCTAGGGTATGGTATAGCAGTGACATAAAGACCATTGTTAGGCCGGGCGCTGTGGCTCACGCCTGTAATCCTAGCTCTTGGGAGCCGAGGCAGGCGGATTGCTCAAGGTCAGGAGTTCAAAACCAGCCTGAGCGAGCCCCGTCTCTACATATAATAGAAAGAAATATTGGCCAACTGATATATATATAAAAAAAAAATTAGCCGGGCATGGTGGCATGCCTGTAGTCCCAGCTACCCGGGAGGCTGAGGCAGAGGATTGCATTGAGCCCGGAGTTTGAGGTTGCTGTGAGCTAGGCTGACGCCCGGCACTCACTCTAGCCTGGGCAAAGCGAGACTCTGTCTCAAAAAAAAAAAATAAAAAAAAAAAGACATTGTCCTGTCCTCATGAAGCTTGCATTTTGCTGCCCTGTCCCATATGGGAGCCACTGGCTATCTCTGCTATTTACTTAATTTAAATTTAATAAATAATAATTTAAACCAATTACAATTAAGAAGTCAGTTTCTCAGTTACACAAGCCAATTTCAAGCGTTCAGTAGCCAGTGCTTGTAGATGATGGTATGAACATTTCCATCATCTGGAGACAGACTTAACCAAAACTCATACTGATGATGATTTAAATATCACTGTGATAAATGCCACCTAGGATTTTGAGGGCTGGTGGCAGAGGATATGACAGAGGACTATGGCCCGGCCTGGGGTAGGCTTCTGCAGAAGGGATGTTGGGAGAGTGAAGAGAATTAGCCAGCGTTGGTGAGAGCCATCAGACGAACAATAGCATGTGCAACGTCCTGAGCAGGTGTGAGTGGGAGGACCTTTGGGAATGAGAGGTCAGATAAGCAGTTTTCAAAAAAATTAATAGGCTTTATTTTTTAGAGTAGTTTTGGGTTCATAGAAAAATGGGAACAGAAAGCACGAGAGTTCCCAATTCTCTCTGTGCCACACACCCACAGCTGCCTCCTCTATCAACACGGGCACCAGAGTGCTACATTGTTACAACTGATAAACTTACACTGACACATTAACACCGAGAGTCCACAGTTTGCTTTAGAGTTCATTCTTGCGGTTGTATGGTTCACGCTTTGCACAAATCTATAGGACATGTATCCACCATTATAACCCTATACATACACGGTGCTCTGCCTGGTCATCCTTCCCTTGCCCTTACACCCTGACCACCACTGATCTCTTTATTATCATCTGTCGTTTGCCTTTTCCAGAATGTCTTATAGTTGGGAATCATACAGTATGTGGCCTTTTCAGTTTGGCTTCTTTCACTGAGTAATGCGCATGTCGTTTCCTCCATGTTCCTTCCTGGGCTTGAAGGCCCGTTTCTTTTTCAGTGGAGGTAGCACATTTGTCCACTCGCCTACTGAAGGAGATCTTGCTGCTTCCAGGTTTTGGCTATCAAAATAAAGCTGCTATAACATCCGTGTGTAAGTTATCGTGTGGACATAAATTTTAACTCTAGTCGAAATGTAGGTTTTAAGAGGTCATTGTGGTTGGTGGAGAGCCTGGATCTTGAAATTACTTCTGGGGTGAGGCTCTCTCTGAAGGTGGGGACAGGGCTATGTGGGTGGTGGCCTGTGTCTGGCAACGGAAGAAGTCAACCATGGACAGGTGTGGGGTTCTCCCAGCAGGCCCCTTCGAAGACCCTGTCCCCAGCTCCACCAGGCTCCACCTACCTCTCACTGTTGCCCCTAATCCTGGGAGGCCCCGCCCCCACATAGCTAAGGGCTGAATGGGAGAAGTTGCTCTGCTTCTCTTGGTGGGTACTTAAGTAGAGATGACATGAGCTCAAACCCACCTTCGCTACTCAATTGGACCTGAGTTCTTCTCTGCAAGATGGGTGATAGGCCATACCACACCTGGGGCTTGGGTGATACTTAGAGTGCAATGCTACATGGAAAGTGTCAGTTACATGCAGAGGCTCATGATGCTGGCTGTTGTCATTTTATTAGGAAAGAGCTGCTTTCTCCAGACCCCACTGTAGATGATTTGGAAGGGGGGCAGGAAGGGAGAACCCCTGCTTATGGCCAATTGTTTCCGCTCTACTGCAGGCTCTCAGGAAACTCGTGGCCTAGTGGCCTAGCATTCAGCCTGGCCTCAGGGTCTCCTTTGCCACCAGGGCCGAGCAGGCAGGCACTGCAGGGGAGCTCTCAGACCATGAGCTATTGGGGATGCTGTGAGGAGTGCACTTGTGAGAGGGTGGTGGTTTCCATCTTAATTGTTTCAGAATTGGGGCTTCCTTGAAATGTGGACCTTCCTCACTAGACTAATATTACAGTGGTTACAGCTTCTGTTGATTGAATCGCTCCTCTGCACTGGAAACTTAGATGCATTATTTCATTTAATCAAGATATTTTTGGCAATATGTATCAAGGGCCTGCTACTGCCAGCACTGTTCTAGTGGGGACGAGAAAAAACAAGTCAGCCACATGAAAATACCTAATGAAAATTGTACGGGAAAGAAGATGATCAGGGAGGCTAGGAAAGATCATTCCAGGGAAGACCTGCTGGGAGGATGTGACATTTGATTTATGATTGAAACGTCAACCACCAGGAACAAAGCATTGCCCGAGAAAAGATGTGCAATGAGTGAGTGTTTCACTGTCACAGGCCAGAGCCTGGTGCAGACGGGTGGAGGAGGGAGGAAGGGAGGACAGGTGGGGCTGG